ATATATATATATATAAATATGTGTGTGTGTTGTTTTGTTTCTTGTCCATGATAGGGACAATGACTTAACGCCTATCGAGGGTGGTCAGCTTTCCAACAACAAAGTGTGCTCTGGACACTCTAGTAACCGTTGTGCAAATAATAGTAATAATAATAATGGTAACAATAACAATAACGTGGGTGGCCCGCTAATGTCCGTGGCGCATCTGAACGGTCAAGTGAGTGGTATGAGTAGCCGGGGGTTGGCCGGTACGTCGTCGTCGCACACGGCCGGTGGTACCGCCGCTGCCGCCGCATCCTCGAACTCCTCGATAGTGTTCAGCGCGGCCGAGTCGTGCAACCCGCTGCCGTCGCTAAGTAGCAGTAATCCGTTCAACCACTTTTCGGGGAACATGGACTTGGAATTCGAGCTGTTCCCCAGTTCCACATGGGACTTGGATAGTAGCAGCGGGTGGGCAGATAGGCCCGAATCGAGAGCGAGCGGGCCACCAAACTCACGACCATCTTCCCAGCCAGCCCCGACATCTCCGAGTCCCCAGGCAACGTACTCCTCTAATTCGGCGGTGGCGCCTCACTGCAGTAGTCCCCTGCGCGCGTTCAGCCCGACATCAGGCAACGCAGCTCACACCTTCAGTAATTCGTTCCCCTTCAGTCCGCTTCAGGAATCACAGACGTCCTCAGCAGCGTTGACCAACAGCGCTGCTAGTAGTGTTAATGCGAACGGGGCCGCCGCCGGATTGACGCCCAAGAGACAGGATGAAGGGAAGACCAACGCCGCCGTCGCTGCTGCCGTCGCTGCCGCTGCCGCCGCCGCCGCCGCCGCCGCCGCCGCTGGGTCTTGCTCGACCACCAACCAATCCGCCATCGAGTCCGCTGCCAGCAACGCGAGAAACAACGCGGCCTCCGTCGTGGTCGGTGGTACCGCGGCTGTCGCAGCCGCCGCAGCCGCAGCCGCAGCCGCAGCCGCGGCCGGCCAAACTAGCTCCGCCGTTGTCGAAACTCAGAACAGTGTTGTGTCCACCGAGTCCGGTAGACTGAGAAACTTGTTGACCAAGGGGGCTAGTGCTAGTGAGGACAGTCAGGACAATGCGAATAACGATTCCGAGAGCCAAAATAAACATAGAATATTGAAGATATTGTTGAATCAGCAAGACGAGGACGATTTTCATCCGGAGCATAATAATAAAGTGCGCACGAGTCCTAGCAACATGCCGAAATCGGGCATGGAGCATTCGAAATCTTCGCTTGGGAATAATATGCTGCTACAGGTAAACACAGGCTGGTCTCATTGGCATCAGCGAATTCCAACTGCCGGTTGGACTGCTGTCAATCGGACTTGCTTTTCAACTTCTTCCTGTTATATTCTTTCTTTTGTTTTCGTTTTTTTTTTCTTTTCTTTTCTTTTCTTTTCTTTTCTGTTTCTTTTTGAACTGCCTTTGTGATCAACCACCTGTCCGTGCCATTTATTTTTCTTTGCAACGAGACGATCGGAAGCAATAACAATAAAATTGCGGATGAGTGGTGTTATAATAAATTGGAGAAACTGTTGGTTGATCGCAATAACCTGTCGTAATAATAATAATACCCTGCTCGGTATAATTACTCGACTTAATTGAACGTCGTCCGTTTGAAGCTATTGAACGAAAAGAACGACGACGAAGACGAAGAGGCTCGCGCCGGCTTGAAAAAGAGGAACGAACTTTTGCAACAGCTTCTGAAAGATCAAGATGACGAGAGGAAAGTACAAGAGCAACAGGTGGGTAGTAATAAATCTATTGTTAGTCTCAACATTATTACATATATTATAGGATTTATGGACGAGACTACTACAATTGTAATTACAGCGGTGTAAAGTTAAGGCACACGGATCTCTTTTTCCTCCTTCACATGAAATCTTTTTAAATTTAACATTCAACAGTGCAAGTCGCAAACGCGGGAAGAGGATTCTCTGTTGCGAAGCCTTGGATTTCGCAATACGACGCCATCACCGTCTCAATCGAGTGACAACGTTGGACTCGGTGGTTCCTCTCAAGTTGGTCAGAAGAGACCCGGCGAGGATGGTGACCTGAACATAGCCGCGAAACGACCCATGGATGGATCGCATCAAGTGTCTTCTTCCGGTACGTCGACCAACGCGACCAGCAAACTCTGGGAGAGAAACAAGATGTTGGCCTCGTTGTTGGCCAAACAACCTCCCCAGCCAACCACTATCCCACCAATACCTGCGTCTGTGATATCGGCAACTCCGCAGGTAATTATATACATTTACACACTCGAGGGACAGTCAGTTGCCTTCTTTATTTCACGTATCCTGAAAGTTGAAATAAGATCGTAAAAACATTCGAATAATTAAAATTGACGTTATTTCTTCCATCGTCAAGGATAAGCTTCGCATAAATTGCTTAAAGCAACAGCCACAGCAGCAGCAACAATCTCAGTCCCAGTCACAACCGCAGCAACAGCAGCAGCAGCAGCAGCAGCAACAACAACAGCAGCAGCAGCAGCAACAGCAGCAACAACAGCAGCAGCAACAACAGCAGCAGCAACCTTGGACGGGTGGCAGCATGCAGTCGGTTGGTGGCAACAATACGATTACGACTACCGCTACTTCCGCACGTACTCCTCTCCAAAGCCAGTCGAGACAGCTACCTCGCCAAACAACCAATACCTACCTCACTCATATGCTAAGTCAGGTAACAGTCAAGTGTCAACAGCGTGGAAATTAATGAATGAATAATTGAATAAATAATTGAACAAATAATCACGAGGCTTGTGGTCGGTTTGCAGCAACAAAGACCTCAAATGGGTCAAATGGATTCGGAATTTACGGGCAGCGGGGAGTATCGTCAAACGAGCACCGATCCCAGTAATTGGGACAATCAGTCATCAGACCCAGACCTTTCCGATATTTTAGATCAAGTTATCGAGTTCGTGCCAGATGAAGCTATCACAGGTATAAAATCAATCGGTACTCGTCACTAAACCAGCATGAACCAGTGCCTAATGTATATAATCGTTTTTCACTCCTTTTACACTTATTGTAAACTCTTGAATATACGTTCGCTGTCACGGCTGTTAATTACAAACCTTGTGATTTTGCTTCCTCTTAATGATGCTTCGTTTGAAAGTTACTAGCAGTACATCGTAGTTGCTAGCAATACATCAAGCTAACACACTCTCACGGGTTAGATATTCGTGCAACCTGCAGTAAACGCGTGACAGCGAAAGTAATTACCATTATGGATAATAATTTTTATTCAATAGATTCGTCTGCGATAGCAAATCTCCTAGATGTAATCGAAGCGCCGCAAAACAACGCGTTGAATGAGAAGATGGCGATTAACGCGATACAGAAGTCGTTGATGTTGTGCGAGACTGCCGTAAATCCAACGTCTTCCACGATAACAATTCCTGGCACGCCTCCAGCTTACTCTACTGCAGTAAGTTGATACCCTGTCCGCGCGTATTTTTATAAAATCG